AAGAGCCTTCGAGCTTCAAGCAATAAAGGAAGCTACATGCAGGGTGAATTACAATTTGATTTGGCCCGACAACCAACCCTTGTAGTAATCTCCATTTTAATTTATAAACACTACTAAGATAAACTTTCATCGAGTCTAGTTTGCTTTAGCTTTTGCTATAAATACAGGATAGGAGTCGCATACGGTTCAGAAGAATGCGGAAGCATTTACCTGTTGGTGAGAGAATCAGAAAAGTGTACGAAGCCTTACCAAAAACACATCAAGATTCGCTGGAGAGACGCCAAAATAAGTTTTAACCCTTTAACTCCCAGGAGTGACCAAGAGAAAATTACTCCTTACAATATCAATACATTATCAACCAGATAAGTGATGAAACAAAGAAAAATATCAATTTGGGGACAATGAGTCGATCCAATACTAAATTATTTGAACTAACATTGTAAGAATTGTATGGTTGACGGTAAGGAGAGTAAGAACTTTTAAGAACTTTTCTGTCACCATCTAAATCAAGCTCCTGCTGCTTAACCCTTTAACTCCTATGAGTGACCAAGACAGAATCTCTCCTTACAATATCAACACAAAATCAAGCAGACGAGTAAGGAGAAAATAGAAGAAGGGAGACTACAAATTGATCCAATGCCAAATTCTCCAAATTGAAATGATTAGTAGTTTATGGCAGACAGTAGGGAGAATTCCTTAGACATCTTGGGAGTTAAGGGAGTTAAAAATCACAGGTAGACAGGATGCTTTATGAAGAAAGACACTTCTCAGAATTTCATTGTTGACGTGTCACGCCATGAAGGCCCAACAGAGCGGGCTTCCCTGCAATCAAAACTTTTCTAAGAATCACATCTGACAATATCAAGTGATCTTAAAAAATTATGCTTGTCTTTTGATAGACAAAATACCCAAATTTGTGCATACTATAAAATCGATATGTTGTCCCCTTTGAATTATGGGGACAGTACGGTTGTCAGAAATTAAATATTGACCAAACTTCCGCGGAAAACTTCATGCAAACCTCTTGAGACTCTTCGATTCCTTGTTTCTGCCGACATTCCGAGCGATTCTAGGATCTCGGCTCTTAATTCAGTTGGTTCAAGATTCTACGGTTTCAAGGACCTGCTAAGACATAGCGATTTCACTGTACCCTGAAGTACGGTTATTTCGTAAAGTAGAACATCGACACGATTCCTCAGTTGAACTGATTAAATTTCTTAACAGACATCTGATACTCCTAAGATGTTTACAGGGCATTCCTGGGAACCAAGAAAATGCACTGTCAGGGTCGTGGATTTTATTACAATAGCGCATGGATGATGCAATTCAATAAAACGCTAACTCAACATATATCTAGTGGCTGTGATGGATTTACGTTTGCGCCAAGTTTTCTTCGGCAGTTTTTGCATGGTGACATTGCTTCAAGGTAAGTTTTAATGCTGGCAGCATGTACGAGGAGATGATAACGTTAGTAAGTAAAATAGAATCTATAAAGCTTTGAAATTAAAGAGTGAGATCGGAAAGTGATGCTCCGAATATGTTCGTGCCTTTCGACAACAAAGTTGAGGTTCGAAGCGCTGCGTTGAAAACTTACCACACAATTGTTAGAATTATTTGAAATGACTCATCGTTCGCTACTGAGTTAGAAGATATTTCTGAAGGCATCCACAGCCACTGATTTTCAAGAGCTTACTGCTTTTCTCGGAAATATCATATATGATACGAGCAACAAGTAAAACGACTGCGAACGAGACTAAAATAACCCAGCTCAAAGGCATTAAGCGAAGCAGAACCAAGGCAAACGACGAGGAGAAAATTGTTAAACACTTTCTGAAGAATTCGACGAGTGGCCGGATGGGTTTCACGTCTCTAGCGGCGCCAAACCCGACAATTTTAGCGTATGTTGTCAACAACATACGTAGTGATGAGATTGGAGGACGTATTTCTCGAGAAGAAAAAACCTCAACAATCGATGGAAACAGATTTCTGGATTCAAAATTTTTTGAAAAAAAAAAAAAAAAAGGAAAAAGAAAAAAGAAAAAAACAAGCAAAGAACGGTTACCCGTCGATATGAACTTGATCGCATCGAAAAGAGGATTTGGTGGCCAAGCATAATGCGTTAACATGATGGTGCTATTTCGCGACATAGTGGATCACCACGGAAATTTGATGATCGTCTGGTAAATGAAAAGCATTAACATCGGTGTGCTGGGTTGGAAAAAGAGAACTGTTGATTATGGAAAAGAGTAATTGACACGAGTTGTAAATCAGAGAAGGTGCCAATAAAATTGTTGACCATTTGAGTAGAGAGTGAGTTGAAAAAATATGTTTTAAGAAAAACCAAGACAATTTAAACTAGTCGTTTACAGGTCATGATTGCTCAGCGATAAACGAGTCGCATTAAAGTTTTCATAACTTACAAAATTACGCCTGAATTGATTGTTCTATTAATTAATTATTAATCATTTGATTTTGTATTTTCTCATTTCCTTGATATTTATTTTTAATAGTGGCTTGTAGTATAAGCTTCACAGGGGACATACCAGACCGTACAATAAAGGCCAAACTAGATGACGACGTCGCTCTGGGCTGGAGCTTCTCATTCAACGATTTGGGAGGCAATCCAGTTGGCCCATTTGGTGCTCCAGACGTTTACGAAATCAGCTTTGGCATTTATAAATCTATACATGGCGAAACTTTCTTGCTGGATTTGATAGAAAAATGGATTGGAGCCACTCAAAATACAAATTAACATTCATTCTGAAAAACATTGCTATCCAAGATCAGGGAATGTACGGAGTGAATGTTGAGCTTGGCTTGAGTCAGCTGCCGCTCAAGGATTCTGTGATTGTTATCATACCAGGACTCTCGTACGTGGTTCAAAATGGCAGCTCGATTGTCCGTAAAGGTAAGGCAAATTAATTCAGTGATATCCTTAACCCTATAAAACTAATGAAATGTAGACTTCAAAATTCTGATATTCTAATTTTTTTTAGAGTCAGCCTACATGATGGAACCTTTTGAACTATCGTTTACAAGATCGGAACACGACCGAACTGCTGACCGTATCAAGTACACACTCAAAAAAGATAACACAAGCATTTTCATTATTGGAATGAACAGAGAAGATAACAGATTCAGTTGCTCTCATTATGTTACTCCAAAACCTACACCCTGTTCTGATGATTCCTTCTTAGTGAACGAAACTTACGTTTCTTTCAAACTAAGAAATGTTACCCTTCAAGATGCTGGTCGATACCTGTGTATAAAGTATTCATCGGGGCTCTACAATACAACATTCGAGGAAATCGATCTTAATGTACAAGGTAACGTAAGCAAGTATGTTTGAATGATTTACTGACATTACAGCCAGCCCATCTTTAACCAGAGCTGAATTTAAGAAAGACCATGAATTTTCTTTCATTTGTTCTTTTGAAATTACTTGCTCAACTTAATCCGTGATAAGTTTAGCTGCTCCAGGTGCAATCCTTTGAGTTTGCTGGTAGGGCCTGAAAAAATATAAAAAAGAAAAAAAAATTCTCACCCATGCGCTGTTTTAAAATCAGTTTATCTTAGGAAATTTCCAGCGTGCTGATTTCAACTTGTCATTAATCTTTGCCATCTTCTTTTATGTCTTCTATTAGAGAGACCAACTGTAGAAATAATTGACGATGAAACATCAGCTCCCAGGGCAAAAAGCAGTTATTCCAGTAAGTATCGATTGTAAGCCCTACCAGTAAAAGAGTCCAGAAAATGAGTCGATAGGAAAGTAGAGTAAGAAAAGATAGAGTCATAATATAAAGTATGCACAGAAGGGAACGGTTAAATGTAGAGTGGTGTTGTAAAGCGGTAAATGCATTGTCGTCGAGAAGGCCCTTATTATCAACTCTTCGGCACGAGCTCGTGGGAAATTATGAGACTTTGAGCTACGCAAAACGGCGATCCAGACTCTCGCAGCAAACCATTCCCCGACTCGTCTCCAATCTTTATGCGGGCAGAGAAACGCGCGTCCCGCAGCGCTAATAACTAGGGCCTACTCGCAGGCTGGTAAGTTCAAGGACTTCGTAAGAAGTATAGGCCTGAAGTTGCATGGAGTGGTTGGATTAAATTTGAAAATGATTGTAACGATGTGGAGTGGAATGTACGTAGTGCAGCATGAGCCATGTATCATGCGTGGAGGGACTTAACGTGGCTTATAGTGTACTCTAGGTGGTGTTAAAGAGGAGCAAAGTACTAGGAGAGTCGTCAGCCACAGTGGACGCAGGTGGGATTGACTTTTTGTAGTCTGCACTAGTGCATTATACAATTAAACTAGCTTGTTTTTGGTGAGACAGGGTTTTATTTGGTGTGGAATGGCATGAATTAATCTGGATGGGGATGAAGTGTAAACTGTGTGTGAGTGATGAAGAGTGCTGTAGAGTAACATCAGATTGTGAGTAACATCAGATTGTGAGTAATGGAATTAAGTTGTCGAATGTGTTAGATTGCTGTGGGAAAAGAGTCCGATGGAGATGTTAGGCGTTGAGTGCACAGAAGTAGTGCCGAGTTGCACAGAGGATCGTCTGTGGGTGCGTGGTACTTGCGTAGAATAATGTGGCGAGAGTAGTGCTGTATAGGATGAAGTCGTAATTAAGGAATTACAAGAGCGGTTTGCAGTATGCTCAGGTGTGTAAAGGCAGGAAAGGACTGAAACAGCTGGTAAAATGCACAGCAAGAGAATATCAGTTCAGGCCTTATTTTACAAGTTAGCGCTTAGCCACCATGTAGGCGCTGAATTTCAAATAAAGTGAAGTGCGATGGAGAAGCGAGTCAAAATGTAGGATATCTAGGACTGAGAATAATTTGCTTCACTGTTATTGATATGGTTGTGAGTGTATTGCTGCTGAATTAAAAAAGAAAGAAAGAAAAATGCTAATATTTTGAAATAGTGTGAGGTGAAATCTCTAGGCTATACAAATTAGGAAATACGAAAAAAATTTCTTTTTGTTAGTTTTGATTCCCTTAATTAATTAAAGTCACTCATACGTTTCATTCTTTTTCAGGTATTCAGCCTGTATGTCAAGTATTGGGAGCAATATTGATCTTACAAGCAGTACTCGTCTAGAAAACACACCCTTCACCGTGGACGGAGGAAGCATTGAACATCAGTTTTACAAAATATGATGATATATAATGACCCCCTCCCCCCCCCCCCCCAACCCCCGCTCCGTGCTTGTGGTTTAGAAATTTTGAAATGGTTTGGTTTGAAACGACCACGAACTTGTAACGTTAACATATGTCCTAATAAGGACACAGTATACGCTCTTTGTCTTCCCAATAGCGAATGTGTAAGACTATATTGTGACGCAAAGAAAGTTCTTGGCCTTTTCACGCATCACAAATAATATCCAAAATTCTTTCACGTTCACGTGAAATTCAAGATGATCACGTTTCGAATTAAAAATAAAAGCCAGATTCACCAATTAAAATGTTCACTCTTTCATACCTGTTTTTAAAGTTCTTAATCCTCCGAGTTTGGCTCTTCGAAATAGAGTGAGATATACCGCGCAAAACAAAATGGTTCACGAGTCACGTTTGATTCATCTCTTCATTCACGAATCACGTTTATTTAAATCAAATTTTAAATCACGACTCACGTGACAAAAAAATCTCCAAATCACGCTTGCGTTAAAATTTCCGACTGGTTTGTCTTATAAATTCTGTTGCGTGACATAAGGTCAAAGTCCCTTATACTTTATACTTTAGTTTCAGGGGACCCTCCCTTTGACATAACGTCACGCAACAGAATTTATAAGACAAACCAGTCAATTATTATAAACAGACATTTTTATATCATCTGATCTTCTAAAGAACTCTTAACAGAAGGTAAAGGGACCCATCCCGCTTTTTTCCCGAGGTTTGGGAGCTGTTGTACATAGTCTCAACAAACCTTGTCAGACTGGAATCTTTTTTTAGACCCCTGAGACTTCAAAGAAAGACTATAACACAAAGCACTGTACTGCTAAAGTAGTGTTCATTACTGTGATGGTCGCTTTCACGTTCACTTCTTTTTCCACAGTTCACATATGTGATTTTCCTAGATTCACAGTCATTTATTCATCACTTTACGGGTTTATTTGGAGCCAACGTAGTGACCAGCTCCCAGTTGGCTTGTTAGCTTATTTGGTAGAGCGTTCCACAGGTATCGCAGTGGTCACGAGTTCAACTCCTGTGAAGGCCTGAATTTTTTTCAAGCCTTCTTTTCACTACTGAAGTAGTGTTCGTTATTGCGATAATCGCTTTCATATTCACTTCTTCGGTCCGCAGTTCACATATGTGATTTTCTTATACTCACAGTAATTCAAAGCACATAACGTCACGCACATTACGCATTTAGTGACATACTTAGACTCGCCTGACATTTCATCACTGCCCCGAGTTACTGTCTTGGAATTTAGTCTGAAGATTACGTCTTGTCTGCTTGTCTAATTTTTCATAATATTTCTTGACAGAAGTAGGTTTAATAACAACAAATTTTAGTTTTAGTTCGACTCAAAGGGTTTCAGTTTCATTTTCGCTTCAGGGATCAAAATATTAGACTAGAGCGCGGCTGGAATGAGACCATGCGTAAGTTTCATATTTTTAAATGTCGACATAGATCGTGATCTTTTTATCATTTTACAAAGTCTATTGGTATTTTTCCGTTAAGGTAATTTTTGTTCACTTTAGACAAAAAAAAACCTCAATAATTTTGGTCTGAGTATGCTGGTAGAAAATTGAATTCGCGTGAGCCACGAGAACCTCGCGGTCATGATATTTTGCTGACTCGCGCATATCAATATGCAAATTTTGCTGACTCAAGCACACAATATGCAAATTTGGTCTCACCACGACCTCGTCCTATCAAAAGCACATGCTGACATTTACTATCATGTGATTGTAGGACTCTTAATCGAACTTTCAGAGTCACGATTGGGCATATGCAATGAAACGCGTTACATTTGTCTGCAGCTTTAAACCCATGCATCCCATAGTAGTGCCATCCTTTCACAGAAGGGATGACACTTTGATAGGCAGTATACAATCTATTTCATTGCCACAACCCTTTGGTTTAGGACTAGAGGCTCAAAGCGGAATAACAGGATCTTTCAAAGAAGCTTACATCATGACAACTCTCCAAAGAGTCGGATTTTACGACTTATTAAAAAAGTGCAAATACTTTTTACTGCAAGTGACTTAGGAATCACAATATTTCATTTAATTAACAGCTACACCAACATGTGTACGAGCTTTCAACCTGAGTGTTGAGAACTGTAGTGGTAAGTGAAAAATATGTTTCTGTTTATAATTTACCTATTAACTGATTTGCATGTCAGTCGTTCAACGCATTCACAAGGACATTATCAGCAAAAACAAGGCCTTCAGAGAGAATCACTTTTGACTTAGAATAATATAAACTCATGGCGACTACTGAAAGTGTCAAAGCCTAAATTTCCCAGCCCTGTTCTTAACCTACAGCTAATAGTAAGTTAGTAACTCATTCTCTAACAAATTTAAGGCAGCTTCTTGGTTATGTCCGGGTATTTACTGAGGTTAAAATAGCAATATATGTTTCAATATACCTTTTAGTTGCCCAAGGTCTCAAGAAGTGTATAAGTGTACGACAAATATAACATCTAATTTGGTTATACTTTTTCTTTTCTCAACAGTTCCCGTAGGTGGAACACTGACCATGATGGTAAACATATCACTTAATAATCAAAAAGCCAATTATGTATACCTTGGTGAAGGCTCTCCTGTTACCCACCTGATCAAGCTCCTAGAAGGAGAAGATGGTTGTGGTACCTGTTACAATGAGGTACCTGGGTGCAAGAAAAACTACTGTCTCAGACATTCAGGAGACAAAACTCTAAATATAATATTAAAAGAGATTACCAAGTCCATGGAGGGCTTTTACAGGTTGTATCCATACTGCTTAGGAACTAACCATAACTGTACAACACACCAACCTTTGAAGAGTTTCATGCTCTTCATTGAAGGTAAAGTCAGATCGCTTACTTTAACCTTTTAACTCCCAGAAGTAATTAACATGTAACTTCTCCCCTGTAACATGCATACATTATCCAGAAAATGGGTTGTGAGAATACTTGAAATTATCAGATACAAGATATTACCTAGATGACACACCAAATTCTAGTAATAAATTTACAAGAAAATGTGTAGCAGCTAGAGGAGAGAATATCCTGGTTGCCTCCCTCATTGTTTTAAATAAAATTCCTTAGAATGTGCTTCTATCTCAGTAAGCCTAGTGTATATATCTAAAGAGCATCTTTGCCTGCATGAAGCTATGACAACTACTGAGACAGACTCAGGCCCTGCAGAGCAGGTTTCTACAGGTAAAAAGGTGTATCTAATGAGGAAATGCTGGAGCAGAATAATAATTGTCTACATGTCGCTATTTATTGAATACTTCAAAATTGTATCTAAGGTTTCTGCAAGCTAAGTGACTGTGGTCCTGATGGTGGTGTAAAAAATTAAGGCTGAGTTAAATTTAGTGATTGTGCAACTTAAATGTGATCTTACAACCAAGTAAATTGTGGCTCATATATTATAAGGAAAAAAATTAGAATATAGGATAAGGAATTTATGTTGTGAAAAATACTCCTCATTGTCCTAGGTTAGGACACTTTTATATGGTAGAATCACATTGACTTCCAACTTGACTTTTGGTATCTGTTTACTGAAAAGGCGAACAGCTACATTGTAACTTAATGTGAAAAAGCGATGACACAAACTTGCATTTTCATCATTGCAGATAAGCCAGAGCCAACAAAAGTGACAACAGTTGAGACAGACTCAGGCCCCACAGAACGGGTTTCTTCAGGTAAAAAGGTGTATGTGATGAGGAAATGCTCATGCAGAATAATAATTAACAAATGAAAGTGTCTTAGCTGAAAAAGCTTTTCTTGTGAGACAAATTAGCACACTATTCATTATACAGTTTTTCTTGCTTTAATTTGTTCTAAATGTAAAATGACAACAAAAGTCACATAATTATAATATAACTATGAATTCATCCCACTCAATGCCTTGACTGACTGCAGGCTTCACTGCAGTTAGAATCTCATACAGCTTGTGTACTTGTACTTCTCATTGTTTACTTTAAATTTTCTTTTTCTTCTTTCGTAATTACAGGTAACACAAATGATATGGTCATCACAGGGGCTGTTTCTGTTACAATCATAGTTCCCATCTTAATGGGTTGGTTTATGGTTTAACCCCTCTCTTTCTCTCATTTTCGTCTGCTCTGAAGCCTTAGATACTGCAATTTTGTATTATTTTTGCTATAATGTGAATATTCCCCTGTAAATAGGTACTTCATCTAGATTCATAAGTAAAGTGTATGTGTTTGTAGTGAGCCAGACAAGTTTGAGAAATCATATTTGGAGGGATATTATAAATGAAATGGTTTAGCCCCTCCCTTTCTCTCATTTTTGTCTGCTTTGAAGTCATAGATATATTGTAATTTTGTATCATGTTGAAGCTGGATTTCAACATTTCTATGAAGACAAATAATGTGAATATTATCCTGTTAAAAGGTACTTCATTTAGATTTATAAGTGAAGTGTTCATGTTTGTCTGTGTCAGACAAGTCTGAGAAATCATTTATGGAGGGATATTCTGTATTATGTTTAACTTAATTAAATTCTTGTGTTACATGGAAGTAGGATTGGAGACAACTTTATCCCTAGTACAGAATTTATTTGGACACAGCAAGCAATGCAGATTGAAATAATTTAACCCTTTAACTCCCATGAGTGACCAAGACATAATTTTTCCTGACAATTTCAATACAATATCAACCAGATAAGTGATGAAAATAAAGAAAAATGTCAATTTGGGGATAATTAGTTGATCCAATACTAAATTCTCTGATCTAACATTGTAAGAATTACACGGTTGACAGTAAGGAGAATTACAAATTTGATCTGGGAGTTAAAGGGTTAATAGGCTGTTTTGGATTTGGATTTAAAAATATCATCACATGTAAAGTGTTACAAATCGTAAAATAATGCATCATATTTCTACCTTATCTTTTAAAGAAAAAATGCCAGCTGAGAGTACCATGACAACAACTTAATTAAAACAAAACTGCCCAAAAATCCTACTCTCAAATGTGTATCCAGCACACATGTGATAACATAGAAGAAGTGAATGTTGATAGCTTTGTCATGCATATGATTTTTAATCATTCTTACTGGCAAATACACAGCATTTCCAATCCTGTTTAATAAAATGATAATCATCATTAGTCACAATTTCCATGCAGTAATTTATTTGTACCCCAGTTTCATTGAGTACCCTAATATAATTGGTTTACTAGAAAACAGAGTTATGTTATACAACTGTACATGACTAACATATACAAACCCTCTTTTCTTAGGAACCAACATTATAGTCATCTAAATATGCTACTCAAAAAGAAATATGTCTCTTAATTTATGCATCTTACAAGACACGCTATTCACCTATCCCTTGACAATAGCCAACCAATAATGTAAATAGTAGTTTTAGTATAGATTTCCTTTTGCACGTACATACCCTTCTCCTCTCTTAAAGCTGAAAAACTTCAGTGGCACTTCATGCTTGCAGCCTCCACTGAAGACTGGGCTGTTGTCCAGCTTTGTGGATTTGTTCTTAGTATGAAGACTGGAACCAACTTAAACCTGATTACACTACTCCTACAACATAACACATTTAACTATCAATCTTTAACTTCCTTTGCACCTTCAGGTTTGGGACTGGCAAGAGTGATGGTATATATTATGATGCTACCTGTAAAGACCATAAATCAATTGCAAAAAAAGAAGAAACAAACTGTACTAAAAAAAAAAAAAAGGAAAAATGAGGGCTGCAATCGAGATTATTCGCTTGTTCTTGAAGCTGACAATTCACAAGGTTCCTGTAAATTAACTTTACATAATTATCAAGCTAACAATATATTTCAGCTACAAGGATTTCATTTGCAAGTGATGCAAATGAAAACATCATCTTAATGGATAGCCATCTCTACTTCCCAAAAGGCGCCTTTCTTGCACAGTCTAAGCGCAGTGACATTGAAGAACTATGAAACTGATTGAAGTTAAAGCTATCTGCGACGGTGAATTTGCGTACGTTTACTTTCATCAAATTCAGGTAACACTGTTTGGTAGGAAATGCACGCTAACGTCAAACAACGGCGGTTGATCGTAAAGTTATATCGACATATTTCCAGACGCAAAGAAGGTTAAGAAATGTGTCAAGTATAAATGTTATTGCATCTATTACATTTAAGTTGTGTTGGGGAAGTAATAGGGCGGTACTGCTTGGTACACTGTTAATTAAGGTTATGTCGATTAAAAGAACGTTCACTAACGCAAAACGACCGACAGATTCGAGACTAATTTCGATTGTAAAACAGCTTTACCACCACAAGTGTTTACATCGAAAAGCTTTTTAAGGTTAAAGCATGTACTGAACAAATAACGATGATGAAATTCGTTTTGTAAATAAAATTGGTGAATGGAACGGGAACACGCAACGAGCTGTTTGGATAAATTTATCAGCTTTAGTTGAACAATGTCTAAAATAATTCTACTTATCCTTCAGACTTTTCCATAAGAAAAAACTCCATTAAAAATTTTCCGGACGGGTTATATCAATATCAGTCCCAAAAAGCGTAAAGCGATGTTATGTCCGCTTGTAGGCAAGCTTCATTCACACTAAAATCACAAATGGCTCCTTCAAAGTTACTACATCACGGGCGACGAGCGGGGATAGAAAAAACGACCCAAATATGAGCGGTCAGCGGTGAAACAGCTTTTATAATTCATATATAGACAGATCATTTGTAGTATCAGGAAACAACCGTGTTGTAAAGCCGTAGTGTAAACAGTTTACTTCGCTAAATAAAATGTTAAGCAATTCAAAAGTGTTGATTGTACATATATCTTTTACTGCTTTAATAAACAATGAAGGCATCGGTGGAATCCGAAAGGTACCAAGAAGAATTAAATGTACGTTTTGTAGTTGCAGAAAACAATGGTGTTGTAAAGCCGAAATGTTACCAAGTTACACTTCGCTACTTAAAAAGTTAAGCAATTTTCCTCAAGCTTTAACTGGAACAATACTTTTAATGCTCTATTAACCAACGGAGGCATCGGGAAAGGCATTGGTGACACCGGGAAAGGCATCAAGAAGAATGATATTCACGTTATGTAACTTGTTGTGTGACGAAAAAAACGTATCTTGACTTGTTTAAAGCATTAATCACAGTTGGCTTCCTTTTCACTTGAATTTTGTATCCACAGCCTAAGATGAGAAATTTAAAATTTCTATCAGCTGAAGTTCTTTTACTGCATATTATATCTATTCAATCGCCCCCAATTCACGTGGAAAAAAGGCAAGTAGGAAAACACTGAGCTTCGAGAAACAGCCATGTTAAGGCTAATGTATTTACCATTCCTTAAATATTTACAATCAAGACCACTCGTTTAGGAGACCTTTTTCTCAAAAGATCCACACGTGCAAATAATGCTGTTTTCCGTTGGAAATGTTTTTCTTCCTATTCAATTGAATAGCTGACTTAGCGTTTAAGCCGAGAAAAAAATCATAAAGTTTGAATTCTGGGAAAAATTGCCTAAACTGTGAAGTAAACTGTTAACATTTCGGCTTTACAACACGATCGTCTCTGGAACAACAAATTATATGTCTCTATATGAAGTATAAAAGCTGTTTCACCGCTGACCGCTCATATTTGGGTCATTTTTCTATCCCCCCTCGTCGCCCGTGATGTAGTAACTCCCTCGCTCCTCGAACGCGCGAAATACGCCGAGCATGCGCACTCATTTTGCCGGTCAACTCACGTAATGACAGCGATCATCATGGCCGCCACGTCATACGTAAGTTTCAAACAAGTGCTCTTTATTGGGAGCCTCATCTTCTACATTTTAGCACCGATTCAAGGTAAGTTGAGTCTAAAGCTGTTAGGGTTTACGTGTAGTTCATTGAAATGAGCGGGAATCACTTTCTCCAGTTATGCTTCAAGTTAACGGCTTATGTACCAGTGTTCACTAAAAACCTACAGATTCACATAGTTACTTGTTGTATTCATCTTCACATCTATCACGCGTCAAGAACTCCATACCTTTTTCACAGTTTCTCAGACTTCGTCGTGTATGTAGTGACGACTCTGATTTTTCCGAAAAATCAGAGACAATGTGCCAGTTTTTCGATAAACGTGGCTATCTTGTTTCTGTCGTTCAAGCGGGCCACCACCGTGCCCAACAAATCGATCGACAGTCAGCACTACAAACGGCTGAGAAGGAAAACACTGACCGCATTCCATTTACTCTTACATTTCACCCTCACAACCACGCAGTTAAATCTATCATTCTTAAAAATTCTTACAAAAACATAGGCAACTTTTTAGTCAGGAGTTCATTTCAAACCAATGACCAATCTGGAACTTTTAAATGCACTCGCTCACGATGCAAAACTTGTCCTTTCATTCATAACGGGGATAAAAATATCGGGACCCAAGAGATCCATTAAGATCATTGATCACTTTACGTGTACCTCCGCCAATGTTATTTACTGCATAACTTGCACTTATTGCAATAAGTTATACATCGGCGAAACAGGAAGATGACTAGGTGACCGATTCCAAGAACACCTTTGCGACGTGGAAAGAAATGACAAGGACGCATCCAAACCAGTCGCTGGACACTTTAATCTTCCAAATCATTCTAAACAGCATATGGCAGTTTGCGGCCTTTCCTTACATCTAGGCAGTTCGGAAAGCCGTAAAACACTAGAACAAAAATTTATCTTCCAAATCAGCACCCTTAATCCCCACGGAATCAATGAGCGCTTTTCATTCAACTAATTTATTCCTGTTTCTGTCACCATATTCCCACCAATGGCGTAGCTCCATTTTCTGCATATAAACCCACACACAACCCACAATTCCTCCAATCATTCTGACGAAGGGCTAACGCTCGAAACGTCAGCTTTTTTACTCTTTACGGTGGCTAATTTACATTTTCAACCCAGTTGTTAACACTAAATTACCTGCTATACTCTCCCACCGACGCAGCACCACAGTTTCTTTAGAAACTTACCCCTTTATGCTTCAGAACTAGTAAGTATGCACCGATAAAGAAGTTCTAACGTTGTATTTTGTGAAATTACTGGTTGTTGTTTAAGCTACAGTGTATCATATTCGAGTGAAGTTGCTCATCCATTGAATAAGGTTCATTTAGTAGTTCAAAGCTTCCTGCTTTTCTTGGAACCATTATATAAGGAACATAATTGCAGGGAGGACTATTTAAAACTAATTGCCAATTTTGACGGGTTCACATGGTTTTTAGGGGAACAGAGGGTGGATCAGCCATTGTGAACAGAGTGTAAAGGGGGAAACTATTTAAAATAAATTGCCAATAAACTGCCAATGAAGGGGCTTACAAGAATATTACAGTGCCTTGTGGGGGGATTTAGTAAATTTTATCATGATGCAACCAAAATCCTCACCCTCCGCCGTCCCTTCCCCCAAGGTAAATGATGATCATGTCTGGAGTCTTACAAGAATATTACAGTGCCTTGTGGGGGGATTTAGTAAATTTTATCATGATGCAACCAAAATCCTCACCCTCCCCCCCCCTTCCCCCAAGGTAAATGATGATCATGTCTGGAGTCAGGGAAATTATGAGAAAATCATGAAAAGTATCAACAAGGGATATAATAATAGGTTGGAGGGTGCAGTTTATTTATCGAATGGTAAATAATTATTGTTATCACTAGAATGATTGTTATCATTACCGATTATTTTTATTATTTTCTTGGTCTTCCATTTCCTATTTCCAAATAAATACATTGATTGATTAATGTTTTTTAGTTCTTCATTGCTTTGATTTCATTGTGGATAGTTTGTGGAGACATACACTTTACAAATGACAAGCTAAAAAATTCCATAATAACTTCTTTAGGTGATAATGTACCTGTATATGATGATAATGGAAAAAATACAGGTGACTCATGGGGTTCTCTGGGAAAGTCACAATTCCAACATGGTGAGTTGAAATAATACAATAATGTCTTTTATTTAATACCTTTCACTATGAGGAAATGTGATTCTCAACATATTTTTGCCTTTATGCATAGATTAACAAAAATCAGTCATTTAAACTGTTGTACTCTTCCATGCACTTTACTATGTCACACTGTTTTCTGGAGATCATGATACTCAAAATAGTGACTATCTATTTCTTATCTAGTTTCAGCCCATCCATTAGAAACTGTGGACATCCTCTTTCAACGATCAAAGAGGGAATCATCAACATATTTCCACAAGTATGAAATCTTAAAAAACAACTACTCTATTATCACCCTTGGAAAAGAAGAAGATGGAAAGAAATTCTTTTGTAAGGAAAATGCTGTTTACACAGCTACCTGCAGGGAACGTTTCTCTTTTGGTTATATAAACAGCACCAATATGGCCTTCCAAATAAGAAATATAACATCTCAAGATGCTGGTCAATATTCCTGTCAAGCATATTTCACTGGGGCTAACAAAGAGAACGACCCACAATATGAACATGTCTATTTGATAGTACAAGGTAAAGTATGTACATTTACCTATTTATAATCTGGTCATTCTTTCATGCAGTTTTCATTTATTAGCTACTTCTTTCATCACAATATTTGAGAAGTTTTCAATCCTTTTTGTTTGAGGTAAAAAATATAAATCTGATCTGCAGAACAGATGGGATTTTCTCAGCCATTCTCTTTGTAAATTAGTGACATTTTTTAAATAGCGTGGGAAAAAAGTCCTAATTGTTCCTTTTGCTTCATTTGATGAGATTAAAATTCCTTCACTTCTGTTTATATTTTTAATAACACTATTCGAAAAAGTGACTCACAAAATGACTGAATTTTTTTCTATTCGGTTGGCACAGAGTGTTTACTATTTGGAAATGTAGTCTAGACACAAAATGCAGTGCGCAGAATGCAGACTGAATTCAGAATACAGACTAAAAAACTAGATTATAAAAATTATAATATTTTATCACATTTAAAGTCAACTTAGACGAAAAACTGGTTTTGTTTTTGGTCTAAACATGTTTTTCCTTTTAACAGATTATGCTACAGTTCCCTCTTCTTTGGCTTCCACAACTACAAGTGATCATTCTGGTTGGTAATTTGCTTATTAACTGATAACTGGCACTATTGTAATGTATTCTTTAATTGAAATGGAAAAAAGTCTTAATTGTTCCTTTCTCTTCATTTAATGAGATTAAAATTCCTTCACTTCTGTGTATGTTTTTAATAACCCTATTTTTTAAATGTGAGTGACAAAATGACTGAATTTTTTTCTATTCAGTTGGCACAGAGTGCATACTACTTGGAAATGTAGCCTAGACACAGAATACAGTGCACAGAATGCAGACTGAATTCAGAATACAGACTAAAAAACTAGATTATAAAAATTATAATATTTTATTACATTTAAAGTCAACTTAGATGAAAAACTGGTTTTGTTTTTAGTCTACATTTTGCACTGGGTCTGCTGCTCTCATTATTACTAACTTACTAACTTGTTTTTTCCTATCATGCTACAGTTCCCTCTTCTTTGGCCTCCACAGCTACAAGTGATTATTCTGGTTGGTAATTTGCTTATTAACTGAAAACTGGCACTATAGTAATGTTTTCTTTAATTGAAATGGAAAAAAATCTTAATTGTTCCTTTCTCTTCATTTGATGATATTAAAATTCCTTTACTTCTGTTTATGTTTGTAATAACACTATTTTTTAAATGTGAGTGACAAAATGACTGAATTTTCTTCCATTTGGTTGACACAGAGTGCATACTACTTGGAAATGTAGCCTAGACACAGAATACAGTGCACAGAATGCAGACTGAATTCATAATACAGACTAAAAAACTAGATTATAAAAATTATAATATTTTAAATTGCATTTATAGTCTACATTTTGCACCCAGTCTGCTGCTCACATTTATTACTAACTGTTTTTTCCTTTTAACAGGTCACACTGTTCCTGCAACTTCAGCTTTCACAACTACAAGGGATCATTCTGGTTAGTAAATTTGCTTATTAACTGATAACTGGCAGAAAAGTGTAAAGTGAAAAAAATAAAATAAAATAAAATAAGGCACATTACAATGTAAAACCTGGGCCACAATGCCCAGAGTATGAGTTACTAAGAGTAGAATATGGTGGCTTTAAATTGCATAATAGTGAAACAATTAGCAAGGACTCTTGTACATGATTTTGTTGGGTGATTGGTTTGAAGTGCCCAGGATACCTGGAAAGGAGTGGCAAATCAGGGAAGTACCTTAGATTGGCAGAGAATGCTGGTGTGGTATGAAATGGAGTAGAGTTGAAGAGGGTGGTATGGACTGATCTGCAACCCTAATCAATAACATATTTGCAAATACTTTTAGTGCAAATGCTACTAGTGGTAACTTAGTCCTAAGAATCTCTGATCGTCTTCCCCAATTTCTGATTGTAGATAATGTTAAGGTAAATTATAAAACTCTAAACTATTATAAAAATGATTATTCCAAGTTTGATAAAGAAAAATTTGTCAATGATTTCTCACTTCTTGACTAAGCTAACATTTTTAATAATAATTTACCGTAATTTCCGGTCGTTTACCCGCGGGTAATCTGTTTATTTTGCATTAAACGCGCGCCACTGCGGGTAATAGGGAGGTGCGGGTTATGTGACAATTTTAAAATCCAGTGGTAGTTGAATTGAAAAAAAATATCACCAACATGCGTTTCCACCTCTCAAGTAAATTTTATTGTGTTAATAGTGCCGAAAGCGGCACGAAAACATGATGCCGACTCGAGTTTATTTCACGCATAATTAGTTGCGCGACGAACAAATTATTATCGGCACGCGTGAAAACAAAACCTTGAGGGTGACAAAAATTATCCATAGATATCCGGTGCATCAGTAACAAATTTCCATTTAACAATAGCTTGAGCTAAAGAGAATTTTCCCGTTTTAAGGGACTTGTTAGGCCCAATAGAACCGGAGATATCGATTTTTTCAGAAATCGCCGACAGTACTTTATAATTCAAGTTTTAATACTCACCCAGCTTTTTTTCAACAAATCAACATGGCGCTGAACGATCGCTCGCACAAAATGTGGCCACAAATTCGCATTCTGTCAAATATGAAACGTTGAGATTTGGGCATGGGCCGCTAGTGTTTTTACTGTATAATCTTATCAATAAAGTACATGCTAATATTGACACACAATTGTGCACGCGTCTGAATTTCTTTGACCTTTAAACTCGACAAAGACGCTTTCAAGTTTTCGAAAGTTGGATCAGACAACTTTTAAAAGACTGAAATGTATCACCTTAATGTCACGTTTTCGCCACCAAAAAGTTGAATAACAACGTGCGGGTTATCCACCAGTGCGGGTAATCTGTTGACTTTTTTTTTCGCCGTATGCAATAATCGGCCGGTGCGGGTAATCGGCCGTGCGGGTAAACGACCGGAAATTACGGTAGATGCTAACACTAAATTTTGTTTTGTGTGATCAAATCTCCCAGTTTATTAACTGTTATGCACCACACTGGAAGCTCTCAAAGATTGAAATAAAGTTATCAACTAAACCATGGATCACAAAAGACATACTTGCTTACATAAGATACAGAGATAAGCAACTACATCCAAATCTGATATCTCTTCACAAGAATTCAGGAACAGTGGTTAAAGATATCAAAGCCAGTAAGTCTAATACTATAAGAATTACTTTTTGTGTAACTGTTACAGGAATAATATTTTAAAAATCTGATGTGGAATTAGATCAATCATAAACATTAGTAAAGTTAAAGTTGATTACGTTCCCACCCTTCTAGAAAGTGGCAAATCTACCAACAATCCCTGTGCTATTGCCAAGATTTTTAAAATTTTTTTTGTAAATGTGGGTAGAAACATTGACTAAGATATTCCACAGGGGAAGTCCTTTCCTAAATGGCAATTTTCCCTAATTGATTTTCCTTTCCCCTATTGCCTCATTTGAAGATTAGTCTTACATCTCTCAAATGGACAATAACAAATGCATTGGTCCTTGCAGCACTCCAGTCCCTCTGCTAAAAATTCTTCTTATATTCTTAACCCATATTTCTCTACTTCTTTCATCCCTAATTAATGATTCTTTTCTCTGTGGCATTTTCCCAAATAAACTTAAATTGGCAACAGTTACTTCAGTTTTCAAGGCTCTAGATAAGACAAAGATAATTATAGGCCAATATCAGTGCTATCTGTTTTGAACAAAATGTTTGAAAAAGTGATGTATAAGCTCCTCTATGGTTATTTTGAATGTCATAATATTCTCTACTCACTTCATTTCACAATTACTATAAGCCAATATCTTCTGTTCATTCAAATTATACAAGTCAATCACTGAATGAGAAACTTTGTAAACCCAGTTCAAACAACTCAATATAGTATTCATTCTCTTTGTTACACTGGTACCACACTCTGGAATTCATTAGCAATTAATGTTAAACAAAACACTCCTTTTTTTTAGATTTTGCCAAAATATAAAGAATTCTATGACTGACGGTTATTATAGTGGTATTAATTCATAAATATTTTGTGTAAATATATTTTAATTCTTTGAAGTTAGTATGAAAAGTAATACTTTTTATTTCAATTTTTATTAACACTGTATTCCTTTTGTTTGAATCATTTGCTTTTGCACACCCACTGAATTGTAAATTGTTTTAGTTTCTTTTTTCATTTTCTTATTGTACTGTATTCTTCATATTGATGTTTGTAACACAACTTTCATTCCTTTTCAGGCTGTCTTTCCCGTTTTGTTATGCTGGCAATGATAACCACTCTACAAGCCCTTGTGCCATAAGAGAATGTCTCCTGGGGAGCTCCAACAATGAACGAGTTGCCAGTAATAGGATCCCTCTGCTATGCGCAAAGGGTTCTGGGATCACCACGGAGCAAATAACGCAAATGGCTGTAAATTTTAGTTTGATACGTGAAACCGCTGGTATGCGCCTGCATCGGTCTTCTGCTCGAGAATCGCGAAAGAAAAGAAGCAGTAAAATATGTCAGAAAAAACAACAGTTGGAGTAACCTTTATTCTCATTTATTCTTCTGTAACTTAGATGGAAGCGGCAAAGTCTTGAAATTATTGTGTGATGTGTGGAAGGAAGTTATTTTCAAAATGCAAAAGATTGTTCAAGTCTTGTTTTGATTGTCTGAGCGATTGATGTAGATGATGTTATTTTTGAAGGATGCAAGTGGCCTGTCGAAGAGCACAAAAGAATTAGATAGTATACTTTTATTGTGTCATTGCTATCTCAAGTAATCGGTGATCATTCGAAGTACTCGCCTTCATGTAAGCGTTTTTAAGAGCTTCAACTGTAATGCTAGTGCAGTGTACTTCCAATTTTGGCAAAAATTTAAAGTTTGCAGTAGTTTGTACTCGCCTTCCTGTAAGCATTTTTAAGAGCTTCAACTGTACTGCTAGTGCAGTGTACTTCCAATTTTGGCAAAAATTTAAAGTTTGCAGTAGTTTGTTTTGTTTCAAAAGTTTTTTTGACATGAATCACAACCGGCAGGGCCAATTACCAAAATAAAAAAGGTCAATGTCGTGTAAAGAAAAGTAAGACAATGGTAGTGTTAGAGATATGGTAGCTCCATCTGGTTAGAAATGGAGGAATAATTATCAATTTTATTAGAGTAAGATAAAGTCTTTTCAATCATTAGTCTCAGAAATATCATCAGATATGATCGATGATGTGGGGAAATTGTGAATGAAAACAAGTACTAGTTTGGGCTTCCAACTGTAAGATGAATAATTAAATAAACTAGGTATACCTATCAATAGAGTGCCAATGAGCGATCAATTTGTGGTTTGATAAGGGGGTTTATGCTAAGGCATAGTTTTTTCCAATTGATTAAAGGGTTTTTAATAAGAGTAACATGGAAACTGTACTAAGGTTTTAAGGGCTTTGTAATATTAACCAAGTCATTTAATAACTTAAACATGTTAAAGGATATGAATAGTTCTTGTTATTAATGTAAAGAATATGAATTGTGTTGTATTGTATAACTGTTGCTTTGAAAGAGCATAAAAAAACAACACTGAATTTTTCAGTTACAATATGTTGATTGAAGCATATAGAAGGGGTTTTGGTTAGTACAATGTTTGTGAACAGAAACATATATGCACTAGTCTTTGCGAACTTAGTAATCTTAAAAAAAAACATGAACTTGAACGTGAAAACCAATGTGAATGGTTTTCTGCTATTAATACAACATCTTGAACATCAATAGCATGGTAAGAAATAAGATTAACTTGTTTCGTATGTATGCTTTCAAATAACAGGTAACGTAACATTGAATCAGAACATGGTAATGAAAGTTTGTTGAAGTCTTGATACTTAAGTGTTGCAAATAAATATTTTAGTCGGTGGTCTGGCTTTGTTAATTCAGTACTTTAGGACATTTTAACTTGACAGTGAAGATGATGATATTTCAGTGATCACTTTTCTGTTGACATTATATTTGAATTCTATGTCTTGAAGATCCATAAGTAGTTCTTCAATTGTGTCCGAGTCACTAAGTAATGAGATTGTCGGGTGGGTGGCAAAGAGGGACTCCAAGACATCTGTAAATGCTGTTAACCAAATGCCTTTTTCATCCAAATGTACAAGTAGTTGAACAGATGCATCTCGTTTGCATTGCATCTTTCTTTGTCGGACTCCACAGTTTTTACATTTGAGTGTGTTCTGTTGGGAGATTTCATTAATTTTACGTTTGCATGCTTGGCAGGTGATGAAAATGCTTAGTTTGTTGATCATTTTGAAGCTCTCTACTTTTGCTTCTTTCTCTGGATTTGCAAGTAATGAAGGGCCATTTATAGGTTTCAGTTGCTGATTGGCTTCTTTAAACGTTGTTGTAGGGTTTGTTCCCAGATGAGTGATCCCTTGGAAGTGCTTTACAGTAAGGTTTTCAAACTCATATGTGGTGCCAGTTTTGATGTTCTTGACAAGTGGATCCCATATATGAATAGTAGCAGTTCCAGTTTCATCCTCCAGGACACAGCCTTCTTTTACAGTTGTCATTTCACTTGAGGATTTCAATTGCACAGGTTTAGGGTTTTCATTTCCCAGTGAAATGGAAGCAGTGACATTTACTTTCTGATTGACTTGGAGTGTGGGGAGCTCCTCAAGTGTAATCTTGGCAGGCTGAGTTGAGGGCTCAGTCTTTTGGGATTTGTTGATGGGTTTGTAATCAAAATCAATATCAGAGGTTGGTGTTACACTTACTGTTGATTGCTGGTTGAATATGATGTCATTGTTGCTGTTATGCTTAGTGTTTTTGAGGGTTACAGCTGTTTTTGACGCTTCATGTTCTTGTAGCATGGAGTGGTTTGCAATATTAAATCCTACAACTCGTCTCAATTTTGATGGGCTGGTTTGTAAATCAAAATCATACCACTGATTTTGATTTCGTGAGCGTTTTATAGGACTCAAATTCTGAATGTAGCCACGGTGATTATCTAAGAAAGAGGAAATAAAAACTGAAGTTAGACATGAAATGTTGATCACAATAAGTTACTGCATCTTTTAATAACGTGGACTGTAAAATTCATAACTAACAAATGTTTTTTTTGGTACTGTCAATCAAATGTTCTGCAGCTCTTTGCAGCTCGTGACTACTGTCAATTGTGCAGTAATCAAATCAAATCAAATCAAATCATTCAGCACAGTTCAGACAGCAGAAGTTGGGAGGAGCCACCAAAGATTTCAGTGACGGTAGTGAAATTGCGTTTGTCAGTAAGGTTTGAATTTTAGAAATGGCAATATATTTTTTGTGTAGATGCAATCTAGTATGGTGAGGCCAGACGAAGATTTTGGAACAAAAATTACAAGGGGTTGTTTCCTTTCAGCAGTTCTTGCTCATTCAATCTCCCTCCCCACCTACTTTCCAAGTGAAGAAAACAGGAATATGGAGAACTACAAAAAACCAAACATTGTAAATTAAAGCTACAGGTACTTACCAGAGTTTGTATTTTCTTTTGACATGATTGACTGACAGGAGATCTGGAAACTGAAGAAAGAGAAAATTTTCAAACAGTGCAGAAACATTTTTTGAAATATCAAAGATTTTGTAAGCAGAAAGCACTGACTGTTATGACATGTGTACTATATGCTCAGTAAAAAACAACAACTTTATTTTATGTCCAAATAAGGAAACAGGTAACGTGACAAGTGACGCATTTATCGTACCATCTCCCTTCTTTTGGAGTAGGCTAATTTCCGAAAGAAACATGTAAACATAAATAAATGTGTTCAAGTTGAACAGATTACTGAAAATAACATTTAAAAAAAGAACAAAACAAACGGAACTTAGTGCAAGACTAAAAGTTGAAAATCCTTATTCAAGTGACTGTCCGATAGTCAGTTTTTTTAATATGAACACTTCGAGTTCTCTTGAGCTGAAGTCAATTTTCATATGACAAACTACATAACAAAGTCACTGAACCTCGAGGGTGGCTTTACAACTCTGGTACGAGTTTTCTTCACTGGAACAGCTTGTGGTGTCAAGATTGGCTTTGGTTCATGATTAGCTGAATTAGCATCTTGCTTTGAAGGCTGGTTAACACTCTTTGAAAGCTCGCTGTCACTGCTTTCAATTGGTTTGGCTTGTTCAGTTGGTTGTGCAGCTGGCTTTAGAAATTCCCGATTTCGACGGAATACTTGATTGTCTGAACTGGTTTTTCTATATAGGACCTGTGTGATAGTTTCTTAACACAGGTACCTGTTTTCCAGCTTTGATTCCTCTGCAGAGGTGCCACTCTTATCTCTTGCCCAACTTGTAATTCTGGTAGGGTGCGTGATGTGCGATCATGGTACCACTTGGCCTTTTGCCTTTTCAACTTCAGCTTTGCATTGACATTTTCTGGAATCTTGGGGTACAGTAGGTTAGAAGCTGTAGGTAGTAAGGTTCTGGTGCGTCTAGACATCAATCTCTGTGCAGGGCTACTTTCTAGGGATTCTGTTGGTGTGTTGCGTTGGTCCAATAGGGCTAACCATGGATCTTTGTTGTCTTTAAGAGCTTTTCGGAATAAAGACTTGACAACTTTCACAGCAGACTCTGCCTTTCCGTTGGATCTGTGATGATGCGGGGAAGAAGATACGTGAGTAAACTCCCAATCGACTGAAAACTGATGGAACTCATGGCTTGTAAACTGAGGAGCGTTGTCTGTAGCTAGTGTATCTGGAATGCCATGTCGGCTGAATTGTTCCTTAAAGAATTCAATCACGGAACTGGAAGTGTTTTCCTCTAATTTTTTTACTTCCAAGAAATCCGAATAGAAGTCAACAAGCACGATATATTCCTTGCCATGAAGTGTGAACTGGTCAGCAGCGACTCGACTCCACGGGCGGTCAGGAAGGTCATGGCTTTGCATTGGGAGCTTCTGATTCTTAGCTTGAAATTCGTTGCAAATTGAACATTGTTTGATTTGGTCCTTCACTTCTGCATTCATACCAGGCCAGAATACGGTGTCTCTAGCTTTGCGTAGGCAAGCCTCTACTCCTAAATGGCTGGAATGAATTTTGGATTTCACTTCAGGTCTCAGTAACTAGGGGATGACTACTCTCGAGCCTTTGAAAAGAACACCATTGTATATTGACAGCTCGTCGCGGTAAGACCAATACTCCCGGATCTTGATTGGTACTTGATCTTTCTGCATTGGCCATCCGGTCAGAATGGTGGTTTTCAGTGTCTGCAAGGTGTCATCGTGACTTGTGCTACGCTGCAATTGATCCAGTCTTTCTGGCGTGACCTTCAGGGCTTGCATAGGGTCCAGGCTCTCCACCTCTAAGGAAAATACTTGAAAAGATTCTTCTGGCCTGGAGGTTTCATGCTGTGCGGCTCTAGACAGATGGTCGGCTAAGAGCATTTGGGAACCAGGTTTGTATTTAACTGTCAGGTTGAATCGTTGTAGCCTGAGAAGCATTCTTTGGAGACGGCATGGAGCTGATAGTAGAGACTTCTTAAATATTGACTCTAGAGGCTTGTGGTCAGTTTCGACTAAAATCTGCTCTCTGCGTGCTAGATATTGATTGAATCTTTCACAAGCGAAGACTATTCCCAGACATTCTTTCTCTATGGTTGCATATCTTTGCTCTGTTGGCGAGAGAGTTCTGGACGCGTAAGCGACTGGCTGTCCATTTTGAAGAAGAACTGCGCCAAGGCCTTTATTACTGGCATCCGTCTGAATAGTTACTTCTTCTTCTATGCTGTAGAATTTAAGCACTGGGTGTTGAATAACCAAGCGTTGAATAGAAGCAAAGGCTTCATCATGCTGTTTGGCCCAGGTGAACTTGGACTGGTCAGTAGTGAGCTCTCTTAAAGGTGCTGACACATCTGAAAGCTTTGGTAGAAATTTAGATAGATAGTTGACAAAACCAAGCAAGGTAAGAACTTCAGGCTTAGTCGTTGGCTTCGGCATGTTCTTGATGGCAGTAACTTTATCGGGATCCGGTTTCAGTCCATCCCTTGAAATTACATGGCCCATGAACTTAACTTCTGCTTGTCGAAGCTTGACTTTGTTCTTGTTGAGTTTCAGATGGACTTGTTTGGCTCGTTCAAGTAGGCGAACCACATTCTGATCATGATTAAGAAGTGCTTCCGAGTCGGTTTCACCATAACCAACAACAAGAATATCATCTCTGATAACTTTCACACCAGGCAGGTCTGCGAGGCATTCCTGTAGTCTGCTTTCAAAGACTTCTGGGGCTAAACTTATACCAAAGGGCATCCTTAAGTAACGGTATCTTCCTAGGGGTGTCCAGAAAGTTGTGAGTTTAC